ACGCTGATACAAGGCGTTGGCGCAACAGGCACGCGTATCCCAGCGTTTCTTATCTTCGCTAGCAAGGTTCTAATCTCTACCTAGTTTATAGAGGATCTGCCACGCGACTAGGTAATCTAAGTTAGTCCTACTAGCTAGACGAACAACGATCTAGCGCTTGACTGGCTTTGTCACTTTAATTCCTATACGCGGCCTGTGGGGACGCATAGGCTGCTTATTATTGACGGCCATGAGAGCCACTGCTCGGTGGATTTCCGAGATCTCTGCGAAGAGATGAAGATAATCCTCCTCTGTATGCCTCCCCACTCGTCGCACCTCTTACAGCCTCTTGATGTGGGCTGCTTCTCGCCGTTAAAGCGCGCGTATGGTGATGCTATCTCGGTCTTAGCACGCAATCGCATCTACTATATTAGCAAAGAAACCTTCCTACTAGCGTTTAAAAAGGCCTATTATAAGGCTATTACACTAGAAAATATCCGCGGAGGGTTCTAAGGTGCTGGACTTTCACCGCACGATTATAACGTTGTTTTATCACAGCTTAACGTCATGCTGCGTACGCCAACTCCACCAGCGCAAGAGACTACTGCTTGGGAGCCGAAAACGCCGCGCAACGCGCGCGAAATAGAGGCGTAGGCTACGCTTATTCGAAACCGTATGCAAATCTAGCAAGGGTCTCCTAAAAGTTCTCTTAAGGAGTAGATATAGCAGTTAAGTAAGGGAGCTTAGCAGATAGCTTATAATATAGTGTTAATGTAGGAGAAACTTAATTGCCTTGAAGCTATAATTACTAAAGTAACGAAGCGAAAAACTCGTAAGAGGCGCTACGTACAGGCAGAGGGGTCCTAGACAGTTGGCCAGATAGCTGATTAGATCGCTGAGGCAGAGGGTGGTAGCTATAATGATGGTGCAACGTCTGCGAAGAGGGTGCGTAGTGAACGGCGCTGCGGGCGTTGCAGCCAAATTGGACACAACTCTCGCACTTGTTAAGTAGAATTAGAGGATACAGAGGATAGCAATGCGTCTGAAGAATAATATCTTATTCTACTTAATAAAAAATATTGTGGTGGTGTTGCGCAATACTATTACAAAGATGTAATAGTTTGGGGAGGTGGCCCACATACTGGGGTGGCCCGCTTACTGGTGAAACACGTTATACATATAAATCTCGAATATCACCATCACTCAGAAACACACACACACACACACACACACACACAAGCATATCAGAACTTGTAAAGTACGTTAGTCGGAGAACAGAGTGTAAATGGAGAAGAGAGTAATATTTATTTCTTCTGAATACATACAGCATAACGGACTCAGACTCTGACCATGCGTAGTAAGTACGCGACAAAAAAAAACACAGCATTTCTTATCCCAGGAATATGCTGTGTTTTTTTTTTCCTTTCTTTCTTGGCTACCACCTTGTTCTTGTCTTTGCTCCGTTTCCACTCCCCTTTCGTTGCCGTGTATTTACATGTGCATGGCAAAATAAAAGGGGGGGACGCACGTATATTTGCTTCTATTGCTTTTCCTTTGATTTCCGTATATCATTTCGCCGTATTTGGTTTCGTTTACTTGTATCATCTGGTCTTGTCTTGTATTTTCTTTCTTGTGACGCCCACCTCATGATGCGTACTGTCAAGGTACATCCAACTCTTCATCAATAACCCTCTGTTCTGATTCTAACATAAGAATCGGCGTTGCTAACGTAACCCCGAAAACTAGGCCCAACGCTCCAGCTCGTCAAGTCTCGCACAACTTCTCTGGCCTCGTTGCACAGATCCACCTGCCCTGTTTCCTCATTCTTGCAGAGTGCTTCGCTAGCTGTATATGACCAGTCGCACTGGATGCTGGTGCTCATATCCATGAGCCACTCCATGCGTTCTTGCATGGCGGGAATCTGAACGGCCAGTTCGCGAAAGGCAGGCCAGACGATAAAGTCGACAATATTGATGTGCGGCATAAAGAGCTGATTGGGCGTAGGACGGAACCAGTCGGGTATGGCATTGTAGGTTTCGGGCGAGGGTGAGATCATCCAGCGCATCAGTGACCAGAAAAGGTACATGGAGCCAAAGCATGTGAACGTGTTGCCTGCTTTAGTCAGCCAAATAAGCGGAGCTGCACGGAGCGGTAACCTTACCTTTTAGAAACACGCCATGCACCATGCCGACTGCCCATTTGGACAGTATGCCCGACTTGTTGAAAACGTCTTCGTCAAAGAGAGCGGCAATGTTGGGATGCTTCTCGATGACGTCTTGCATTGGCTGCCCTGTGCCTATCATACTCGCAGCTTCTTGCAGGATGCTTGGCACGGTGCGTTTGAGTGAGCCCGGGTCAGGCACTGTGTTGATTGGGAGCATAGCCCATGTGGGAACGAAGAGGTTGTTGGTCTGCGCATTCTGCGTCTCGGAGGAATACTGGTTGGCCTCTGCCGTGCTGGAGTAGGCCATTTTGCCAAAGAAGCGGCGAATGTCAAGATTGGGGTGGATACGAATGGTATTCACAATGGGCTGTCGGCCAGCAAGATGTGTAGGATAAATGGAGCGAATCGTGTGCTGCCGCTGCGGCGACCGTCTCTGACTGTGGGAAGATGTCTTCGACGACGAAGACGGGATAGGACGGAGTTCGAAGTTGGAAGCTTGCTTTGCAAGTCGCGGGTCCAAATTACTCCCCTCCATGTCGTCGTCGGCCTCTTCGCTTTCGGCCTCGGCCTCGGCTTTGGCAAGCAGAAAATCGTCTCGATCAAACAGCGGGCTCAGAAACGATGGCTCCTCTCCAGCCCCTGCGTGCTTGCCTCTACCCGGCGGGGCAAACAGAGACTGGGGAAGGGGCGCTGAAGGCGACCAGGCAGCGTTTTGGGTGGTGGGCGATGTCAGGGACGGGGCGGAGCCATGGCGGAACTTGGAGGCTGGTTTGCTTGGATCAAAGACGGATTCGTGGCTCATTGCACTTCCAGAGGTATCGGTGGACTCCTGGCCCAGTAAGCTGAACTCCAGTTACCAATCTTGTTGCCGCCAGTGCGAGAAGCAAAAAAAAAAAAAAAAAAAAAAAAAGTCAAATGTGTAGTGGTGGTGCATACCTGGGGGGTTGAGTGGAAGCAGCTGGCGAGGAGGTCATGGAAAGGGATTTTGCAACGTCTTCGGGGGCATCACCAAGGCGGAGTCTTGCGAGAATGGCGGCGGCCTGGTCGTCGGTGCCGGAGCGGAGCGAGGTGACGATGCGCTTGAGGTCTTCGAGCTCGCCGGTGATGCTGTCCCGCTTCATGATTTTCATGCGCTCAGCCCTCGAGACGCCTTCGGCGACATCGTACTGGCACAGCAGGTCGTTGTCTTTGCAGCGGTTGCATCGGGGCCTGGTGCCGTCGCACTGTAGGTGACTGTATTAGCGGCTTTCGAGACGGCATCAAAAGCGGCTGTGTTGCCTACCTACAGGTAGTGTCACGTCCAGTGATTACCCATAGAAGAGCAGCGGAGGATTACAGTGGCACATGCTTGACAGGACGGTGGGTGGTGGTGGTGATGGTGGTGGTGGTGGTGGGATGGCTGGAGCATGGACGACGAGCAGCGCCAGTGTGGATGCCCGGCGGCCATGCCACTGAGGCGCCTGAGGGTTCACCGAAGAAGACTCGTGACAGTGGCTGGGAGTCGTGCAACACGGTCCTACGTACCTTGGCCTTCCCATTGCGGCAGTGCACACAAGCCACAGCAACGGCCTGTCGCCTCTTGCGGCGGTCGGGGGGCGCGCGTCGCTGGCCTGGCTCGTCGGAGGCGGGGGCGATGCTCTGCCATCGGTCTGAAAGGTCCATGCTGTGGGGGGTGGGAGCGTCGAGAGAGTGTGCAGCTCGCAAAGGACCCAAGGGACGGTGTGCTGGAGATGGTGTTTGTGGTGGAGGTGGAGCCTGTGGAGTCTCGGCGATGGGCTCGCTCGTGCTCGCGCCCCCAGTGAGCGTCGTGGTGGCAGTGGCGCGGGCGTGCCAGGCTGCTGAGGTCGACGAGGCGAGAGAGAGGGCAGCGGCGGCGGCGACGGCGGCAGCAGCTGTGGATGCCGTTGCACGTCGCAGCGAGCATCAGAGGCGGATGTGGCCTCGTATGGACAGCAGCAGCAGCAGCAGCAGTAGCAGCAGCGGGCGCGGCGGCGACTTGCGATGGGCGTCCCCAAGGTCCGCCTCTTGAGCTCCTGTGCCTGCGCCTGTGCCTGTGCCTGTGCCTGCGCCTGTGCCTATGCAAAATGGGCAACTGCGACCTGAAGCGACTGCTCGGGACAAAAGGCCGACGAAAAACATGGTGCGGAGAGGCTTTCCTAGCCAATGACGTGGCGACTTGCTCAGCTCACGTGCTGTCAGGACGCATCGAGGGGACGCAGGCCGTGGGCGTCGCTGGATGCCAGCCACGAGAGACTCACGCACTCACGCCCCGTTGCAAAAGAACCTCGACGGCGGCCGCCAGTCTGCCATGGCAGGGCGAGAGCGACTTAGCCTCGGCGGCACACGAGTGATAATGGCCGCGCGTGTGCGACAGGCACGACGACGGGTTCCAGACTCAGGCTCGCCATGCTGGGTTGCAGCCACACACGCTGGCTCGGCAGGGCGGGCGCTGATTGGCGGGCGCGGGCGCGGGGTGTGGCGGTGCGAGGCGGTGGCTGGCTGGCTGGCTGGCTGACTGACTGCGTGTCGTGTGGACGATTAGTTCCAAGCAAGTATAGCAACGGTAGCGGCTACATGGCAGCTCAGTAACGCGCGTTGGTCACGTGATCATGTCGTCACCTGTCAGTCACGTGCCGGGCGCTGGTGCTATGCAGGGCGCTGGAGCTAGCGGCAGCTGGACAGCCATGGGCACTAACAACGATACTGCCCGACGACATGCGCGCCAGGTGCAAGCGGCAGACGGGCTGGGCTTTGCGGCGCCGCCGCCACCACCAAGGAGAAAGAGGGCAGAGAGATTCACAGAGGGCAGAGAGGGCAGAGAGGGCAAAGAGAGCTGCGCGGTGCAGCCAGGACACATGGCCGACCGACGTGGTTCAAATAGGAGCAGCCACGATTGACGTCACCATGTGCACTGCGCAGCCCGGATAAAAAAACATGCTACAAGAATGCCATAGCGACCCTCTTGGGCAAAGGCGGCGGGGGGCAGACACCGCTGAACTGGGCCCCAAAAGAAAATAAAACGGGGAGGGGCCGGTTGGCATTGGCGGGCCAGCGAGAGCACGCCGCCGCCCTCGTCCGGCGACACGTTATAGGACGATAGCACTAATACATTGTGCCCAGTATAGTAATACTCGTGCTCCTGCTCCTGCTCCCAATCCCACCTCCGACCGCCTACCGCCGCACGCCTGCCGCCGCACGCCCGTCACGTGACGCGGCTTATGTTCTTATCTCTTCGTCGGCCCGTCTTCCGCCGCGTCCTGCCCGTCTGACACGCCAAGCCCGCCGAACCTTCCTCTCGGCCGCCCGCAAGCAAGCACACACACACACTCACATCACACATCACATGACGCTGCAGCTGCGAAACCGTCTCCGTCTCATATCGTACATTGCTATGCTAGAGGGTGTATCATGATATGTCGTGGCCCCATCCAAAACGCCTCTTTGCGCCGCTTTTCAGCAAAACAAACAAATCATCTGCTTCCCATCCTGGCCTATACACAATCTGTTTAGACTCCAAACATGCACACAGGAAAAAAAAAATTAGAAAGAGAGAGGGAAAAAAACAAAGGAAAAAGCGGGTCTCCCGTCTCAAACACACTGCATCTTACACCCGCACTGATCCGAGCTCTACATCCTCCTCCTTGTCGTCCCACACACTGCCTCCACGGGCAATCTTGGGCTGGCTGCTCGCCTGGGAAACCGCAGGGAAGCACCATCCAGGGTGGAAGAGAGTCAGGGCCACGACGGCCGTGACAATCATGGCTCCCTCGAGGATAATGAAGTCAAGCTCGTTGCGCATCAGCTCGCTTCTCCAGCCAAACGCCAGCTCGGGAATACGGTAGACGCATCGAGCAAAGATGGTGATGAAAGACAGGGCAATGGCAAAGACAAAGCCCTTGAAAGACCTCTTCTGCCAAAGAGCCATGGCCTCTTCGGGGACTTCGGCGCGGTGCTTGTACGTGCGCACAGTGTATTCAACGAGCAGGTAGCCAAAGATGGTCAGCGTAAACACCTGCCACACAACACCGGCAATCATGACATTGGTGCCTGCGTCCTGCTCCTCGCTTCCAAAGTCTGCAGTGGCAGCCAAGCCACCGCCCGCGCCCTGAAGCACCAGCGACAGAAGATCTCCGGCGATGAAAATGTATGTGTAGTGTGCAGGTCGGAGGCGAGACCACGATTCTCCAAACGTCATGACCAGGTGCTTGAGCGTCAGGTAGATACCCGCCGAGATGAAGGCCGGTGCGATGATCAGACAGCAAATCTGCATCTGGAATCCCGCGTTGTCAAATGGGTTGTTCCACAGCATCACTCGGCCTACGTAGCCAACCGCCTCGCAGATACAGCCAAGACTCAGAGCGATCTACACAATGTCAGTCATGTACCCGGTTTGGTTTCCCGCGATCGACATACCATGTATGACCATGTCTTGTACTTGACACCCAGGCCCAGATGGATAAAGGCACATAGGCCAAAGAATCCAGCATAGGCCGCGTTCGTACCAATGTCTGGATAGTATCCGAGAATGGTTCCCTCGACCAGGCACGGTGCTGGTCCGACTTGAGTGCAGGTGTCAGGGGCTGGTGGTGGGATAGTCATGGTGAAGGATGTGTCTGTTTCGAGTATCGAGAGAAGTCGTCGTGATGGGTTAGGAGCAAGTCTTGTACCTGCCTATTGTGGATTCGAGGTTTGGTTGTTGGTGTTGTGTGGATGGGATTGTCCAGATGGGGGGATACGACCACGTCTTATCCTCGACGCCGCAACTTGCCTACGGAAAATACCTCTCTGCTATTCTGACCCTAGACCCGTTTCCGGGGCCTTGGTAGCCCAATCTAGAGGCGCAGCGACTACGTATGCTGATCCCTACGGACACGGACAAACGTTTCTCTCCGAGCACCGAAATGTACACCATCTCTCGACGTAGTCTTACACGTTCGCAAAGTCGGCCGGACACGGTTTAGCGTCATGCTGTCGGCCGCCAAGACTCCCGAGATGATTGGATATTCTCTGGGGGCACCACTCTGATTCCACGTCGCCGTCTATTATTATCTACACGAAATCACCGAAGCAACGAATTCAGGCGCTCACGAGTTCTGGTTGGGCGGCTGTGTACATTGTCGTGTTTGTTTGCAGAGGTCGTCTCGGGGCCGTTCAAACAACTGCGTGACGAGGCTCACTCATGGCATCATCCCACCACAAAAGTCCGAGAAGATTCAGAGTCAGAGACCCACAAGGACAACAAGCCTGCCCGCTCCGGTCGTCTCAGAGGCTCCGGCCATAAGACAACATGCCAAGGTAGCTTGCCTATGCTTATTTCCACCCGGAAACTCCGGATAAACCACACAGCATGTGCTATGTATGTGGTCAGCAAAACAGACCGCCCCCTTTCCTGTGCGTTACAGAATACGCGTCCAGGGATACTTCGCTTGCCGGCCTTATTGCTATCTTATCTGACGGGCTGCAATGCGGCGAACCCGATGGTCCGTCTTGCTTTCGGCTCAACCATGGGCCCGACCAGCCCCACCGTAAAGTCAAATGTCCATCTGCCGACGGATGATTGCCAGCACACGGGGGCCGACTTTGCTGGGGAAGTCGCAATACATCTCGTGTTTGCCCGCCTCTTCGCGCGCTGATCATTGCCAGCGCTCCATCTGTTGAGATCATCATGGCCGCAGCTTGCCCTAGGGCTGAGGTTGTCGCTCTATGCTCGGCACTCCAATTTCTCCGAGAGTTTGCGTCGACTCAACAATATCGCCAATCAGCACTGCCAACGAACACACGTCCATCCACCGGCCTCACAAAACCAGCCACTCGGGGCAAAGACGGACGTATGGTTGAGCCGTTCCTTTTGTTGCATAGAGTTCATGGACTGGAGTTGCATTCTTACGCATAAGACACCTGCTCCCAGCCACCACATCCCCATTGTCGCGCACATGTCAACTCCGCGCCTAATAAGCGTCATAGGCCTACACACCGACTTGCGGCCTTGTGCGTCAGCATCGAACTCTTGACGGCCTCTACGACGAGCCATTGTCTGCTGGATTCAACAAGTCGCCCGATAGTAGTGTTGGATTGGCTTGGCCGCGCATCACAGCTTCCGTGATGCTGCCACGCGCTCTGGATGCATAGGCGCAATCGAGATGCTGTCTACAGCACTGTCTCGCGCAGAGACCGCCACACCAACATTTACATGCGGACAATGGGAGTACGTGGTCGCAACAGAGGGCCGTGACTTGCTCTTGGCGTCTGTTGAGTGCCAGCAACACGGGCTGTTAGGATACTTACAGCACCAACCCAGTCTGTCAACCCACCCAGCCTTGGCATGTCTTGCAACGCCTTTCCAGGACAGCGACCATCGGACAGCTGATTGGATCACGCACACGCTCATGTGGCGCCGGTAAGGATGTACCACTCACCTCCACGCCGGCTCTCCCATGTCTGTCCGGATTCTGACAAGCGAGGCCCTCCCGCATTAGCAGCGGGATCTACGCCAAGCTCGATCCACACTAACCTGTTCCTAGCCCAAACACGCTAGCACATGATACTCGGGCGCACGTCACTTGTGTACCTTTTTTCTTTTGCCGTGCACTAGCCATGTCGGCGTTGCGCTACAAAGGGGGCGCAGTGGGGATCAATGGCACGGGAGCTAACGCTGTCAACGGGGATTATTCATCTTCAACAGATCGATCGCCGCTCGCGATCAGCATCCAACTGCTTCTAGCGCTGCAAGAGAACCGCAACTGCATCGACTCAGTCACCCGCCATGCGAGCGGACCGCTCCGAGCGTTTCTGGCACGACTGCCTGCATCGCCTGGCCGATCATCGCCCCTCGCCCAGGGGTATATAGTTTGGGAATACCAATTGTGCGCAAACAACACTCATCCCATCAGTCTCAGGCCCCAAACTGACGACATTTACCGTTTCTGGTGGGAACTCCGCTTATTACTTATACCCGCCCCCTGACAGCTCTCCTTGGACGTTTATATTGTATTGTATAGTTATCCTTCAATCCAGAGTATGATGCTGGTCATTCAAGCTGCATGCCTGCTGGTGTACGCCGCAGCTGCGTATGCGAGGACGGTTAGGTACGACTTTAGTGTTGGCTATGTGACGGTACGCTAAGCTCCTACTCCAACCAATCCAGCGACTGATGATGCGTAGGCAGCTCCTGATGGATTTGAGCGCCAAGTCATAGGCATCAACGGCCAATGGCCCATTCCCACCATTGAGTGCGATGTGGGCGACACGGTGTCCGTCACAGTGCATAACAACCTGCCTGACCAGACTACATCTCTGCATTTCCACGGCATCTGGCAGGGTGGATCACAGCTCTCGGACGGCCCTAGTGGAGTTACACAGTGCCCTATTCGGCCCGGACAGTCGTACACCTACACATTCGTCGCCAACCCTGCTGGGACACATTGGTACCATGCGCACGAAAAAGGCCAGTATCCCGATGGCCTGCGAGGCAAGATGATTGTGCATGATCGCAAGTGGGAGAGGAGCCTGGGCATCCACAAGCAGCTGTATCTGTCCATGTCTGACTGGTGAGTACATTGGCGTTGGCGCAAGATGCGCGCTTACAGATTGCAGGTACCACCGCACGATGCCTGAGATGATTGAAGACTACATGAGTCCTGCTAATACTGAGGGCCGATTCGATACGCCCAACTCGTTCCTCTTCAACGACAACATTAAGCCTTTCAACTTGAAGCTTCTCAAGGGCAAGAGATACCTGCTCCGCATTGTCAACACGGCCGCAGTGGCATGTGGCACGTTCCACATTGACAACTACAAGCTCACTGTAGTCGAGATTGACGGCGTGCAAATGGTGCCACGCGACACGGACAAAATCCTCCTTTGCGCCGGCCAGAGCTACGGCGTGGTAGTCAAGGGTCAGGATGAACCAAAGCACGCATCCCGATGGTACGCAGAAATGGAAACGGACATGTTTACAGACGGCGTTCCTGCCGATGAAGAGACGTCGGTTATCGGAAGACTCATCTACGACATGATGGAAGAGATTGAAGAGATGGAGAATGCCATGGATTTCAAGGCCCGCGCCACGCCAGACACACTCGACGACTTTACCATGAAGCCGCTCGACGGCCAGAAGCTCCTCGGACCCGCAAACAACCGAATCGAATTCGTAACCAACCAGACCTATTTCAAGGGCATTGGCACGCGCACGCCCATGAATGTCCACCCATGGGTTCCCCCCAAGGTGCCTACGCTCTACACAGCCATGACAACCGGCAGCATGGACCCTGCGACATACGGCCCCGGCGTCAACCCCTGGATCGTCAAGTCGGGCCAAATTGTGCAAATCCACATGTCCAACCCCCACCGCTACCCGCACCCCATGCACCTCCACGGGCACGTTTTCCAGATCGTCGCCAAAGGCACCGGCGCGTGGAACGGCGACGAATCGGCGTTTCCCAAGGTGCCCTCGAAGCGCGACGGCGTGCTCGTGCCCGCCCAGGGCTACGCCGTGATCCGCTTCAAGGCCGACAACCCCGGCGTGTGGTTCTTCCACTGCCACGTCGACTTCCACCTTGTCGGCGGCATGGCCGCCACCATCATCGAGGCCCCGAACCTGCTGCGCGGCTCCGTGCCCGCTGCCGGAAAGGCCCTGTGTGATGCCGGCGGCTTCAAGTCGAGCGGCAACTGCCTGGGCCAAAAGGCCAAGATTTCGGCCGCCGACGCGAGTAAAAAGTGTAATACCGTTTTCAACACTAAAGTCCGGAGTGCAAAGATTACCTAGCTTGACTTGCACGTGTATAGACTTGCTCCTTGGTAGCTTCTCGAGCCTTTTCCCTGTCTTTACCGACCGCGTGGGACATGTTCTTTCTTCTTCTTGGTCTTCTTCTTCTTCTTCTTCTTCTTCTTCTTCATTTTTCTTACTGCTAAACTCGCACATAGATGATGATATCCTGTCTTTTTTTTTCAAACCCCCGCTTGTCATTTCTCGTCTTGTATTATTTCCATCATCATTACCTCGACCTCCTCCGCCGGCGTCCATCTGCCCCCCCCCCTCTTTTTTTTTGTATCACTACTCTTTACTTATCTCACACACACACACACACCGGGGCGCCCAATTCTTTCTCATTGTAATTCCTAAACCCCCATTCACACATCCCGAACACTTTTTTATTCCTCGACTCGCAAGTACACATACATGCATATATTAGCGAGGCGTCATGAGCTGGATCTCATAGTATTACTAGTACTAGTACTACTCAACCATGTACTTTAGCCACCACAACCACCAAGTACTACTACTACTACTACTACTACTACTAGACACGCACAGGTACACAAACCACACACTTAGATATGTATAAACCATCCCTCGTTCATATATAGCCATGATCATCGTCATTAGAAAATACAAAAAGAAAAAAGTTGTTATAGAACAAACCAGAGAGAGAGAGAGAGAGAGTGTGTGTGTGTGTGTGTGTGAACACGCTCAGCTCCTCTTACCTCGCCGCCCCCTACTCATGTCCATGTCCATGGTGATGATGCGCATGTCCAAGTCCCATACGCTTCTTCCAAGCCCACGTCTGCTCGGGCTCCTCTGCCATTTTCTTCATAGCAGCGACATCCGGGTCGGCCCAGCCCTTGTCGAGCAAACTGTATTCCAGACTGAGGCGCGCATACTTGACGGCGTCCCATTTCCGACCGAAACTCGCATGCGTCTCGGCGGCATACTGGTACGCGGTTGCGAGGCCCGCCCACAGCCGCTCCTGCTGGTACAAGCTCACGAGTAATTCCGCCATGGACACGCTCGCGCCAGACGCATCGGTCCAGTCATCCAGGACTTTTTCCAGCTGCCCAATCTGCGCGATGCGCGCATCCGAGTCAGCAGCCTGTGCAATGTTGACGCTGCATGCGCTGCAGCTGCACGTAAAGCCCCAGTTGAGATGCAGCTTTGCCATGCGGCGCGCGCGCGGTTTCTCGTTGTCGATGTATGTGATTGTGATTTCCTCGCCCGGGTTGATGGGCCGGATGGCGTGGACGTACTGGGCCATTGTGTTTTGGTCGAAGAAATAGGCGGCGTTGGGGCGGCAGTCGTGGTTCATCATTGCGATTTCAGGCATCACGATGGACTGGGCCACGTCGTCGATTTCCACGGCAAAGTTGTTGGTCGTCACGCGCGTGTCGAGAGCGTCGGATCCCGGCTCTGTCGTCGGCGTGTCGCTTTGTAGACCCCAGAAGAGGGATTGCGTCGCGGGCGGCAGTGTGGCGATGCTGCGGTAGAGAAGGGCCAGACGTTCGGGCTCAGGGAGGTCGTCCATGTCGGGGTCTGTGACGAGGATCGGGGTCGAGGAGAAGATGAGGTCGCCGCGCTGGAGAGTTGTGTTTGCAATGAGGCCGCGGCCCTTGTTTGGGAATTCATGCTGGTAGTAGGGCGGCGAGTTGTAGTTGTTGAGGTGGGTGAAGAGGTGTGGCTGCGTGAAGGCGATTTTATCGCGCATGCCGTACGCCAGCGATTGGGTAGTGATGATGGAGATGCCGCGGCCATATGCAAATGCCGTGTCTGTGAAGACGCAAAAGGGCTCGTTTTCGTCGTCGAGAGAAAAGCATTCGGGCCAGTAGGTCCAGGGGAAGTTTTTGGTTTGCTGCGCGCGTTTGCGCGACTCTTGCAACGAGTGGATCAGCGGGGAAATGTGTGTGGAGTTGGGCGCCAGATTCGGGAGAGGTATGTTCCACGCATCTTGGGTTGAGGGCTGGCAGTTGGTGTCGTGGATGAGCGAGTTGGATGGGCAGGCATTTTGCAGTAGTGGTTGTTGAGCCACAAACTTGATGTTGCTACTCGACGATGCCAGCACCACGCCTCCCAGCAAACTGATTCCAACAGCCGATTTCATTATGTGAGTGTACATGTTTTGAACGAGGCTAGCAAGTTCTGCTTGATATTAGAAGAAAAGAAATACTTTGTGATTGTGGTCATGGTAGGCGGCTCCTTGGCTAGATAAATATACAGCGATTACGCAACGTGTGGTATTCAAACACTCCACGATCGCGGAAGCGCGACATGAAACTAAACTTCGAGACATTCCGCCTCTTGCCCCAGTATCCTTGGCGGCCAGCGGGTTTTACGCGACTGCTACTGCGACAGTCTAGGTATGATGATTTTGAATCGACTAGGTGGACTAGAGATTTCTACGCGTCGGTTAATACCGCGCCCGGTAGCCGCGTCATCAGTTATCAAATATCAGATATCAGATATGCAGAGATTTAGATTTTCAGATATCCACTGATATCCAGAGTACTCAACCCTCCTCACGGTCTTTACAAATTTCAATCAACATACTGTCAAATTGGCCTTGATGATGGCGGCGGAGTACGGGCGGAATGGAGGCTGAAACATGCGTGTGATTGCCCCTGAAAAATAGTCTTGGCAACCCGTCCATACTGCTGTCCGATATAGGAAGGTGTGGATAGATTCCTGCAGTAGGTGTTTTGTGTGATCCACGATGCGCTGGTTAAAGCTAATTTTACTATACAGTCGTAATGGTGCAGCGAAATGGGTGCTAGTACTCCATGGCCTCCTCAAACAAGCCCCGCAATTGCTCCCTCTCCGCGTCGACATTTTGCATCTCCAGGTTTGGCGCCAACATCAACACTCTGGCCTGTGGGATGGTGCCTTCGACTAGCTGGTCTAGATGCTCACTGCTGAAACCTAGTGCCTTGAGGCCTCGTGGTTGATCACCGAGCTTGATCAAAAACTCGGCTAGCGCCTCGCCCAAAACCTCACCAGCACTCTCCGCCTTTACATTCGAAATGTCGACGCCAAACGCCTCGGCGGCAGCCAAGTGACGCTCTGGGTTGGATGCACCGGTGAACCTGAATACGGCCGGGGCAGTGACGGCGACACTGACACCATGCGGAATGATGGCGTGGTCCACTGCGTAACCTGCGTGCTTGTACCCAGGGTTCTGGCCTGAAATAGGATACGACATGCCGTGGCAGAGATGGACACCTGCGTTGCCAAAGCCAACGCCAGCCAGCGTTGCAGCTAGCAACATCTGCGACTGTGCCTCGTGGTCTTCGGGGTCCCTGACGGCACGCGGCAGATATTTTACCGTATCTCTCAGGGCCTTGAGAGAGAAGATGTCAGAAATGGGGTTCGCGCCTTGGTATGCTGGGCGGTTGATGGGGTTAGTGGGGCGGGGAGTGCGCTCATGGTAGGGTATCGCTGTCCAGGATTCGAGCGAGTGACACAGCACATCGAGACCCGACGACGCGTGGACGGCCGACGGCATGGTGCGTGTGTTGATGGGGTCGACTATGCCCAGCGTAGGCTTCAGGTTGCGATGCGCAATGCCAGTCTTTGCGCGCTTGGAGACGAGGTCGAAGATGGCAGTGCCAGTCGTCTCGGAGCCCGTGCCGGCAGTGGTTGGGACGGCAATGAGCGGGAACAGCTTGGAGGGAATGGGCATTCCCTTGCCTAGGGGCGCGTTGACAAAGTCCAGGAAGTCTGCCTCGGGGAAGGTGGTGTACAGATTCATCAGCTTGGCCGTGTCGATTACGCTGCCGCCGCCAACTGCGAGGAAGGCGTCTGGCCGCCATGGCTTCGCAAACTCAATCGCCTCCTTTATGCTGTGGTCCTTTGGCTCTACCCGCACCTTGTCGAAGATTTCATACGTCACGCCCTCCCTCTCAAGCCCTTCGACGACCTGCTTCATCGCATCCAGCTTTCGCACCGTCCCGTCCGTGACGACCATGACGCGCTTGCTGCCCATGTTTTTAAAGTCCATGCCGACCTCCTTGGTGCATCCTGGCCCAAAGCGGATGCTCGAGGCTGCCATCTCGAAAGCATATTCCTTTTGCTGGAACTGGTCAAGCGGCGTGGCCACGTGTCGGCGTGCCTGCTGGACCGTGGTGGGCGATTGATGGTAGTTGGGGTTCGAGTGGCAGGGGCATGACGGCGGATGTGTGTATTGCACAGTGCGGAGAAGGTTGAGGGCACGCGCAGCGCGTGAGGGCGCGATCCGAATTGCTGGTGATATTGCCATGTGGTGTTTTGGCCAGGGTTCTCCCCGCGGACGGATGGAGAGTGCGGGGGTCGCGGTCGCCTTTCGATATGTAAAGGTTACTGAGTGCCAGTGAATTGGCACGTTTACAGTTGAAAACGCTTACAAGGTGTGAGTGTGGAAGCAAGTGTCAATCAGCGACAGCAGCAGGCGTGTAGAGCGTGTGGGGAAGCTCACGATGCGTCGTCCCATGGAAGCGCAACCTCGGATACTATCTGCGCAATTGCCCGAACCGGCATCCCGGACGTGTGGGGTGGGGAAGGGCCGGTCGGTCTTTTCCCCGTACTCACTCCTCCACCACCATCCCCGCATTCTCTTTTACATCCCAAGATCGGACAGACCCAAAATCACTCCACCAACACCCAGCCATGTCGCCTATCCTGCAATGTTGCCTCTCCGGGCTGTACCGGACTTTCTGCGCCCCCTAGGACCACAGTACCAGCGCCTGCTGAACCGTCGACAACCCTCGTTTCTCGCGGTATTTAGCATATCAATAGGCGAGCCATGTCTTGAGTTCCATCCAAGAAGCGACCGCAGGCCCTAGAGGATACCTTCTCATTCACGAGGACAAGATTATCGTGACCATTCAAGGCCGTGTAGTACAAGGAGACGCCCGTGGCAATGCTTGCGGTCCTGCAGACAACTACCCTATGTGCAACACGGAGAGCCTCCGCGAACTGGGACTGGCCATCATCGCAAAAGACGGCACGGCTGTTTTCTTGTCGCTGTTGGTGTGTAGCCCAGCCATGTCAGCGCTTAGCCCCAGCCTCCTACCGGTGGGCCAACGAGAGGCGACCATTACCCGCTTTGTCGAAAACAACATTCGCTTATCTCCATGATACCGATCAGATCAACGCCACCCTATGACCGCCCATGTGAGGCCATGACTTGCTGTCGATGCTGCTCTCAACCCTTTGTGCGGCACAGTCGCTACATATACAGACTTCACTGCTACGCTTTCAACAGAAAATGCGATTGTTGCGAAGAGTGCCTGGTACTGATTTTGCTACGAGAAAAGTTCGACGCAAGCCGAACCAGCCTCAGCGGTTAAAGTAGCCTCAGGTCACCCGTTTAGACTAGCGGGAACCTGTCCGCGAAAGAAGGGGTTACACGGCTGACCTTTTCGCGCTGGGCAATGTGTGCTGAGCATGCAAAGGCTGCTTCATGCCACCCCCCTACCCGTGATAGCTGTCCACTATCTTGGCTAACATCTCTTATACCCTCCATCGATAAGGCTGTAGCCGATTCATCACCGCTTCTCGTCCATCGCTCTGTTTGCCCATATCTCTTGTTTCGTCGATTTCCTTGAGTTTATATGCATCCAAGCTAGTATTGGCGCATCTCAACGCCTTTTGGCTTCATTCTTTCACACTGTCCCAATGAGTCTCCAGTTACATATCCACAGACCAGAAAGACATCGCTATCGATCCACAGAAAAGGCACGCAACCTCATCCACACATGCGAGCCCCCAGAGTCGCCAACGGCACAGGGGCTTCGTTGCGATGCTATTGAGACGGACGGGCGACGCTGTCACCTCTTACTGTCGACCGAGGACCAGACCTGGTGCAACCGGCATCTCAGAGAGCTGAATGACCTGAGCGTGCGCTGGGAGAGACTGCAACATACTGCGGAAAAGAGTGTAGTAGTGGACACACATTCGGCCAAGCAAAAGGTGCTCAAACTTCGGCTAGCTGTAGAGCTTCGTCGTCGTATTCGCGAGAGGTTCCACACTTGTGGAATCGACACGGTAGACTTTATCGAATGGATTGCAAAACTCGAAAAGGATGTCAGGACTTTGGCCAACCTGATGCTCAGTAAGATTTGTTTTGGCATAATGCCGCTAAGCTAACCGCTATTAGTGTCGAGTCTAAATTTGAAGCGTCTATCTGACACGCCAGACATACTATTATCATCTGATGATGGTCGCAACTCGGAGCAGATTATGATACTTCAGTCTCCACTCAAGCCCGCCATACCTATTGGCTCGTTACAGGGTATTGACGATGGCACCATACTCGTGTTGAAACACTTCTCTACGGATTTGTGTACCGACGCAATCCGGCGCTTGTACAACATCCTTCCAGATTTACAGTTCTCGTCCGAATCGTTGAACTCTCCAATACAGGCTGGATATGTCGGAGACACAGGAACGGAAATCATCTGCACCTGGTTCAGGATAATGATTCTCAATGACAGCGAAGCCGAAACTCTCGAGCGTGCAACAAGATCAAAAACAATTGGCGAGTTCCTGTTAGGATGTCAAGCCAGTGAGCTCGAGATGTACTGCGACTTCTTTGAGAAAGCTTGGAGACCACATGCTGTCCAGTATCTTCGAGTGGCAATTTGCGCACAGACTCTGGCTGGTGGAGATATGAAGACTGTTCGACTTCTCGGTGGAGATGTCCCCAGTACCAGTGAAGGCCTCAAGATGACCAAGCCATGCTGGGACATATTGTAGGCTACCCAAGAGATGAACACAAATTTCGATACTAACATTCTCAGACACCGCTGGTTTCCAACGTTGCTGACGCCCTGGACCGTGGCAAGCATATGCTCAAACTTTGAAGACTATAACACGCTGTGCAAGCTCCTCATGCTCGGTCTTTACCGGAAGCATTGGTACAGCACATCGAGTGTCCTAAGTGAGTGCGCGACGGGTATCTATTTCGGCTTCATTCCAACCACAAAAGGCGATTTCACCAAGGCAGTCACACCGGTTGGAAAGAACAACAAAGCAATACAGACCGAGACAAGAAACTACCTATCTGGGCAAATGGCCATGGGCGACCCGATGACGCAATATTTCCTGGACGAAATGCGCAAAAGAACCAACCGGCTCTATCTGGTCGTATATGAAGGCACCAACATCGACGCTACGGTACACCCCACAGAGGCGGACATCTTCATCAAACGTACCCGCTCCACCCAGGGGAACGAACATGATTGCGAAGCGCATTGGAGTAACCTGATTACTCTGGAAGACATCAAGAACGACCTGCGGCTACGCAAAACTTCCATGTATGACCCCATCGTCGTGGATTCATGGCAATTCATCATCATCGATCGCGACCCTGGTTTGCCTTTTGAACTCATTGATATTGTTCAAGATACGCTACTCATGCTGGCTAACGATCCATCACCCCGGCGGATTGCCAAGCGTGTTATATCGGAAGTCATACCGCCCTCGGTACAAGAGATGTTTTTGGAAGAAATGACAATCGAATGCTCGGCTGACATGCGCTTCCCCGCGCCGCCCAGAGTTCAATACGAAGGTCACAGATATCGACACCATGATCCAGACAAGGGAATTATCCAAGCCTTCCAAAAGAAGTCATCAGAAGAGACCAACTCTCGAGACTCCCATCGCTTTGTTCAGAGAGTCGTCGAGGACATGGAACGCTGCGGAATCATCAGCCTTGTGCATGAGTACGAAGAGCCTCAAACTCGTCCACTCGTGATCCAAGGCTCAGATGGCGCGCTCGACCTGTACTTTTCTTACCAAGAGTCCAAAGACCAGGAGTCAATCGTGCCCGAGCTACCACTACCATCTGCAAATTGTCTCTCAGAATTCGCTCAAACATACATGCAGGCGCATCCCAATGCCATTATGGCAAAGGGCTCGATTCAAACTCATTACTGCGCTTGGCCTATGCCGGTCATCAAGAGTCTAGACAAGACAGGGCTTAACTTTGCAACATGGGAAGGCCACGTCTACCGCTGGAACGCCCTGCGTAAGTCTCTACTGTGGTTTGGACATACTCACTACTAACACATCGATTAGCATTCGATCGCCCATCCTCGGCAAACGCATGGCAATACTATGTCCAGCACTTTATCAATTCCAAGTACCCCTTTGTTATGTTCTACCTCACCACATTTGTCATATGCGCGACGGACCAGCAAGACGCCGACCGCAAGACGATCATGATCCTGGAAGAAATGGAGGATCGCGGGTGGCGCGTTACACTGCCCAGATTGCACGAGTGGACGAGCGATATCGATAAACTCAAGTTGGACACGTTGTATAACGGTATCAAGCCGGCGTAGCGATAGATGGTGTTCCTAGTCAGGTACTAGACCAGTGGGCTTGCATTGGCGTTGTTTTCAGACCTCGTGCTTGTGTTGGGTACTGGAGTCACGCGATATGATTACGAGAAGAAATTCCGGGGGCGTTGAAGCATGTCACTTAGTACAGGCATTATTTGTCTTCTTCAACGTTTTAGCCATATCCACATACCCTTTTCAAATGTACTTCTATGCTGGAGATAACAAGACTACTTGCTCTCTTTCGCAATCGTCCATTTTACATCCGTCTTCCTATTATGACTTCCTAACCAGCCACTCCAATTCCTCGGCTTGCTCTTCCGTTACAAGCGCGCGGAACTTGTCCAGAGTTAAGAAATCATGGTCGCAGTACTCGAAGCCTGGGATCACAGTCTGGATTTCACGTTAGCATTGCTTTCCCTGTCCATGACGCAGACACACTGAATCCAGAAACCGAGATGAAGGAAATTTCGAAAAGAAAAGAAAAGAAAAATAATAATAATAATAACTCACCTCACTAATCAACAGTCTTGCCTCATCTTTCCCCTTCCCCTTGTCCGTCTCAGCCCCAGTATCAGCACCAGTATGAGTATCAAGCAAAAAACTAGCTTTATACTTCCCCCCTTCAACAACCCAGACTGCTTTTTCCCCCGCAGCAAGATCCATGCCAACGACAAACGTTTCGATTCTTTTTTTCGCGCCGCCGGCGTCGGCGTGGATAAGCACGTATTGGCCTCTTCCTGAGATGAGGGTGTGGATCTAGAATTCAGGGATTACATGGGTTAGTTATATTGTCGTCGATTGTTGTCGTTGGTATTATTGTCGTCGTCGTCGTGGTTGTAGTTGTAGTTGTTGTAGTTGTTGTTTCCGTATTCCAGCCCCGCCAATGTACCACGCACATCTAACGCCGACACGGAGAGCGCAAAGAAGAAGAAGAAAAAAAAGAGTTGAGTAGGGAAGGAAGAATGAATGAGGTAAGAATGAAGGAAGAGAAAGAAAAAAAAAAGGAAACATACCGTCCTCCCCTTATTCCTATGAAAGCAACCCTGCGGCTCCACAGGCGTAAGTAAATAATATATACTCGTACTCGCAGTCCTGATGCCTTGATCGCCAGACACCGGTTTCTCCGCCGTCTTTAGCCCTTCCCAGTGCCCCCCCTCTTCTACGTCTCCGTCTCCGCCATGTCCTTGTCGCTGATGTAAAAATGGATTCGGAATAACAAGCGGATTCCGATCTATCTCGGCGAAATACCCGCCTTCGATGTGGCGCTGGAGGCTGCGACTTGCGATGATGGAGCGAGTGGATTCGTGTTCTGCCTTTTCATCGTGTGGGTTGCGGGGTCCGGGTGATGAGGAGGCGGGGAAGACGGGGCGCAGTTTGTGGGGTGCGCCGGGGATGGAGGATGGCATTTTTGCTTTTTTTTCTTATCTCCACTGGCTTTTCTTTGATCTTGTTGTCTTCGCGTCTCGTTTTGCTTTGCTTTCCCTTTGCTTCGGCTTGAGGTTTAGCTTCAGGATCAGCTTCGCGTGTCAAATCCCAGTTTCCAGTTTCCAGTTTCCCGGTTCCAGCCCAAGTCTCCTCTTGTATGCTGCGTTCCCACACTTCAAGTACACCAGCTATTCTTAGCTCTTCTCTTTTCTCTTTTCTCTTTCTTTTCACATGTATCCCACAATCCAATCCGATACTATACGTCGCGCTACGTTCCCCACACGCGTCGGTCGTCGCAAAGATCCTCGCCTCCAACTCCTACCTCCTTATCTCTTTCTAATTTTTTTCTCTTGCCTAGAAATGACGTCAGAATGGCTATCTTATCTAATCATACACCCCCCCCTCCGTCTTATGGCGCCCCTGCCCCTTCCCCCATGCTATGCTATGCTATCCTATCACATCGTATCTCCTATCCTGTCTCACGCTTATGCTTACTCACATGGCTTAGCATCACGTGACTGTATCGAAAAAGACCCGTGTACCTTCAGTATCTTGGAATCGTGTAAACTACGCATCATGTTCACGCTCTGCTTGCAGGATAAAAATCTTAGAAAGCATGTGGGGGATTGTGTATATACGTACGTACAGGATAGGTTTCCGTGCTGTGCTGTTGTAATACATGGGTGTGTACTTGTGTAGATAATAGAGTGCTGCTACTAATCCCATCTCACACATCCATCCATCCATCCATCCATCCATAAACACACCCAAGAACCAACAAATAAAAAGACAAAGCGAATAGCCACGTGCGCCGATTGCTTACACACCCTGCCCACCCTCATACCCATACCCATGCCCATGCTCACGCTGACGCTGACACAAAAACTCAGTGCCGCTTCAAAACAACGCGGGGAAGGCAACGGGTAAGTAAGTAAGTAACTAACTAACTAACTAACTCAGGAATCGAGACTAAGACTAAGACTAAGACTGAGACATTTAGCGCAACATGCGATTGCACTTTTTATATGTCTATGTTTATGAGTGATGTGTATGAGCGATGTGTATGACCATGTGCGCTGTGTATGTCCATGTGCGATGTAAAACGGTGAGGGAGTGAGAGATGCAAATACAAGGTGGTTGGTAAGTAAGGCGGTAAGTAAGGCGGCAAGTAAGATGCGAGGAAGTGTGTATGTAGTTGATGAGCACATATAGAGAGAGAGAGAGAGAGAGAGAGAGAGAGAGATTTAGATGTAAATGTAAATGTATATGCTTTGCCCTGCCTTGCCTTGCCTATGCCGTTCCCATGCCGTTCCCATGCCCTGTCCTGCTCTGTCCTGTCCTACCCTGACTATGCCTATGCCAATACTCCCTTTCATTTCCATCCATCCATCAATCCATCAATCCATCCATCCATCCATCCAACCTTTATCCCATCCATCCATCCAACCTTTATCCCATCCTTCCATGCCTCCTAGCCATCAAATGTATTTATATATATTTATTTATATATATGAGAGTAATAATCCCAATCCTGCATGTGCATCCCTCATCCCGACCTCATCCCAATCCCATCTTATCCATCATCACCATCATCTTCTTCTTATTTTTTCTCTCTTTTCATCTACGTACAGCCGTATACCATACAACAAATTACCAACTAAGTAGCCAAGTAACACGATATATATATATAAGTGTGTGTGTGTGAGTGTGTGTGTCAGTCTTATAAGTAGTAGATGTGGCAGAAAGAAGGGAGGAAAAAAAACGCCCCGGGGTGGAAAACGGCACAACAAGGTCAAATGAAACTTAAGGAAGGAAGGAAGGAAGAAAGAAGAAGAAGATAAGAAGAAGAAGAGAGAGAGAGAGAGAGAGAGAGAGAAGGAGGTAGTCGGAGAGAGAGAGAGACAGAAAAAGAATTAGACAATAAATCCAATGAGCCTCGAATAAATACAGAGAAGCTAAAAAGGATAGAAATTGGAAAGAGCCAAAAGAGAAAAAAAAGGGACGGTTGTGATTTTTTTCCCAAAGGGGGCTACATAATCCATGTTGCTAAGCCCCCCCCCTTCCCCTCGTCTACACCTACTCCTTCTGGTGATGGTAATATGTCTCACCACATGTCATCATCTGCGGTCTTGGCGCCTTGGTCCGATTCCGCATAATGATTATAACCGCTCTTGCTAGGCTGGCCCAGGTAGTTTTGGGCATTGGCCACGCTGTACCCGCTATTGTTGCCCCCGCCATTGACACTGTAATTCGAGTGATGTGAGTCGCGTGCGGGCTGATTGTATGCGCTGCCTTGAGATCCGCCTCTTTGATGGTTGGCGTTTTGCTGGGGTTGTTGCGAGAAGCCATTTTCTTGCTGTTGGTAGACACTAGGCCACTCGTTTGGCTTATCTGTTGGCTCATACTGCTGCTGCTGCTGTTGCTACAACCCCTGTCAGCTAAAACTCCGTGGATAAACAAGACCACGTCATACCTGCTGGTACCGCTGATATTGAGCAAACTCCTCTGGCTGCTGCTGCTGGGCTGCTTGTTGTGCTTGCTGCGCTTGCTGAGCGGCTAGCTGTTGCTGCTGCTCTTTCTTCTGCTGCGCGGCCTGCTGTGCTTGCTGCGCCTGTTGTGCCTGCTTTGCCTGCTTCGAGTTGCCAATGGAGATTTGCGGATGCATCTGCTGCACCTTTGCAAGGTACGAGTACATAAAGTTACTCAGCAGAACCTGCGAGTAGAGTTCGCGACGGGGGTTCGCAAGCTTGATGTGAGCCATGCGGTAGATGGCGCGTTCCTCGAGAATCGAGAATCGGGTCCAGTTGTAGTCAATGTCGGGCTTGAGGATGCGTGCCGGGGGGTCTGGTGATAGTCCGCGAGAAGCGTTCTTCTTATGAGACGACTCTTTTTCGCCCTTCTTCTTTCCACCTCCAAAGATAGATGACAGCAGACCGGGCTCCTTCTCCTTCTTGCCGTCGCTCGACGTCTTTCGCGCACTCTCCTTTTTGCGTTCCTCATCCAGCTTGACGCTGTCACGGTCCAGCACCACGCTTTCACGCCCACGGCCACCGCCTTGTATTGATGTCTGCAACAGGTCTAGTCTGGTGTCGTCATGGCCCTTTTCTTGAGGCTTGCTGAGCTTGTTCTTGATCTTCTTAGCGCCATCCCTGTCCCTGTCCTTTTCGTGCTTTTCCTTTTCCTTGTCGCCGCTGAACCAGCCCCAGCTTGTTTTCCTCGGACCTCCGTCAGAGCTATCCTTCTTTTCCTTGGACTTCTTGTCCGACTTCTTCTCCTCAGGAGCCGTCGGTATAATGGACAGCGAGTCAACTCTGTTTGTAGTGCCCGGCATCGGTGACGCATGTCTTACTAAATCGTCCATGGACTGGGAAGGTTTAATGGGAGACGCCTGTGCAGCCTGAGCATGGCGGTTCGGTCGGGTCGAAGGGTTCTGTCGCTGGGTCGGGGGCTGGGATTGAGGCTGGGGGTAGCTGCGAGGGCCAGCTGGCTGCTGCTGCGAGGGCGGCGGAAGTGGCTGCGAGGACGGCGGGAGTTGGCGTGAAGACGAACGTTCAGGTAGCTGCAGCGGTGGTTTCCTTTCCTGTTCCTGCGGGGGTGTCTCGATGATCTGCGGCACGTGTTGTGGAGGCGTGTAACCTGGTAGAGGTGCCGTTGTCCGGCCATTCGAAGCGATTCTGGAGTGAAATTTCCTGGCCTGCGGCGGCGATTGGGCCTGTGACTGGGGCTCGGTAGAGGCTGACCGTTGAGGTTCTTCGGCAGAACCCGGCCTCTCTGAAGCAAGGCCCGACGCCGAGCGGTTCAGGTGTGGCCTTGCAAAGTTGGCGTTGGAGCCCTCAAAGGCGGAGTTGACGGGCTCCGAGTGGGTGCGCGCAAGTGGCAGCGGAGGGACTTCGGGAATGCCTTCGGCCGAATGCACGGGTGATGTGGATGGAGAGTCTTCCGTATCGGTTTCTGCTTGTCGATTGCTAACAAGACGCCGCGAGAGGGCCGGACCTCCCTTACGTAGGCTGCCACGTCTGTACGTGGTGCGTGTAGATCGCTTCAGTGTACCGAGGCCACCCATCTTACTGCCCGGCACAATGGGCAAGTCTCCATCGTCGCCCATGTCGCCATCTGGACTCGTGTTCTTGTGGTCGATGCTCATGCGTCTCATGCGTAACGCGGGATCCTCCTGGATGTTCTCGAGCTCCTGGAGGTTAGCCAGGCCTCCGCTGGGCGGTGAGGCGCCAGAGCGCTTCCTCTCGAGCCTCTCCGCCCCGTCCTTGTAGCCTGCGCCCGTGTCAATCTGCCTCGACAGCATCGACTTCTTCCGCCGCAGCCCGGCACCCGAGCCCGAGCGCCCCAGAGCATTGTCCGGAAACAGCGAGTCGGAGTCCCCCGAGCGGCGCCTCGTCTTGTCAATCTTGTCCTCGATAAATGTCTTGAACTCCATGGGTGCCAATTCGGGATGCAATCGCGCAGGAACCCAGAACAGATTCGACTCGTCTTCCGCCGACGTGGCCGGCGGAGACGGGGGCGAGTTTGCCGACTTGAACGAGGGCAGATCGGGATCGGCATTGTTAACACCCATGGACATCCTCCGTATAGCCTGCAGATTACTCAGCTCCTGAGCCAAACCAGCAGGACTCGACTCGTAGTCCAGATTGTTGAGGGGGAACTGATGGGACGCGGTATCCGAGTTTGAGCGAGACAGCGGGGGCGACATTTGGCCGCTGTTGGAGGGGTCCCGGCCCATCGAGGCCTTGGTCGGGGGCGCGTCCGGGGCGCCATTCGGGCTGGTTGGGGTCGCGGGGTGGTCGTAGGGCATTTGCGGGCGTAGCGGGGATCGCGCAGGAGGCGAGTTGGGGAAGGGGTCGAAGGGGTCAAGGGCGATGGAGTCGCCGTTGGGGCTGGGCAGGAAGCTGAGGGGCCGCAGGCTGCGTCTGTTGGACTCGGTGTCGCTGTCTCCGCCGTACATGTCGCCTATGGCCTCTGTAACATGGTGGTTGTCATCGCTGATGGACAGCTGAGGCGTGTGTCCGCGGCGGGGAGGGTTTCGCATTTGATACAGGCGGTCCAGCTCCTGTGCTCGGTCGGTCGCCTATGGGGAAGCGGGACTTTTGTCAGCGTGGGCGTGGTGGAATATGGGGCGCGGGCATCTGGCGGGGAGAGGCAGCCAGCGGTGCATGCTCGTCATGGGCAGAGGGTAGCAGTAGTTGGAGTAGCAGTAGTCGTCGTCGTCGTAGCCGTAGCCGTAGCCGCAGCGGCAGCAGTACCAGGAGCAGTCGCAGGAGGAGCCATGCCAACTACCACTTCGGCCAGCACTAGCACTGCCAGCATTGCCTCGTCTCCCGTGTCCCCCTCTTTGGCCTGTTTCTTTTTCCTGGCGAATACGGCATGCGCGCGTGTTTCCTGGGGCGGCGGGACAGGCTGTGTGTGCTCGGCGAGGGGAGGGGGGTGGAGGGGGGAACTACTCACCATTTCGCGAGGAAAGCTGCGGAGCGGGTTGGCTCGATTGCCACGGCTTTGTCAAGGCAGCGCCAGAGCGACAGAAGCATCCAAGAGCGAGCGACGGGCAGGAGACTGAGCGAATGCGGACGGCGTCTGAGCAGGCACAGCGAAAGCAACCATGACAAGCGGGTGAGACAATGCGTACCGTCTGGACAAGGTGCACACAGTTGTCAGGCAGGCCCAGGCTAGCGGCGATTCGGGTTAGCAGCGTCTGGCTCAGCGGAGAAGACCCGATGAGGGCTATTGCCTGGCCTGACTCGCCGCGCCACAGGGGCCGCCAGCACCAGCAACCATCTACCCATCCGTCCATCGTCCATCCATCCATCCATCCATCCACCCATCGTATCAGTATTATCCTTTTGTTTTAGGTCCACACGCCCCCTGTGCGCAGCCCAACGCCTCGCGCCCTCGCCCTCGCCCGCGCCCGCGCCCGCGCCCGTGGCATGCGCGTGGGCTGGCCCGTTTGCTGCAAAGGGCATGGCGCGCATGGCCGCCGACGAGAATAGCAGGCTGTCTCGGGCTACTTGTCGATCCCCAGGATAGCCACCCTGCACGCAATACAAGTACGTAGGTATCCAGCAGGCATCCTGTCTCCCGTCCGCCTCCATGTCTATACATGTACGCACACGTACATACTATATCTATATATATTGCGCCACACTCGCTCCATCACGTATACATGTACTCGCGTTAGCGCCCATGTCTCTGCGCCAACAGCACCACCCCCTTCTCCCCTACACGACCGCGACGACACGCCCATGACATGGCATGCCATGGCCTGCTTAAGCGCTGACCTGCCAGCCCAATCTACGCCCGTCACAGGAGAGACTTGGACTGTGGCGCACAGCCAGCATGCACACCGGGGACTGGTTGTCTATTCATGTACAGACGCTATGCTATTATTCATCTACACGCGCGCGCGACCCCTTCAGCCGCGTTTCACTCCCTTCATTTCTTCAAGACCCGCCGCTGTTCCGTCGCCAGATGAAAATGGCCGAAGCCACTGCGCACGTGACGGCGCCCAACGCTAGCAAAACGTTGACGTAGTCGTACTCGTCCTCCTCCTGCTTGGGAAACGCCGTCGACGGGTGCGTCGCGCTCTCGGCCAGCTATCGTCCGTCAGCTTCCCCCACGTCACATCACGCACACATTCCGGGGGGCTTACATGAACAAACAGCTCCGAGATGCTGTTCCATTTGGCGCTGACATGGAGCGGCGGCGCCATTCGCAGCGCGCTCGTGTACTCGTCCGGCTGGTGCTCGCAGCGCTGCATCGTCTTGTCCTGGTCGGCCTTTAGTGCCGTGTACACGGCTGGCAGCTGGTCCAGATGGGGGTACTTGTTGCGCAGCTCGACAATGTGCGCAAAGCTTGTCGGGTCGCTCGAATCGTACGTGTAGCACAGCAGGTCACACGCATCTAGCTTGGCCTGGTTCTCCAAGATGGCTGGTTCCAGCTCGCCAAGCTCCTCGAGGATCAAGTAGCATTGCTTGCCCCCCTTGAGCTCCACGCTGTTGACAGCCGACCGCGGCTTGATTGTGGGGTGGTAGGTTGGGCTGAATGGGCGCTGCAGGAAAGCAGAGAGCAGCGAGCTCTTTCCGCTTCCACTCGAGCCGAGTACGTAGCAGAGGAACACATTGCGCTCGACCCGCCCGGGCTTCTTCCGCCGCTTCCTGGCCTTGGTCACCTTCAGTGCGCTCGTGGTCCCCCCGCGATCGCCGCTCTCGAAGCCCAGATAGGCAAGGTATGCCAATGTCGTCTTGGGCTCTTCGAATGTAGTCATGCTCCACTGGGCCAGCCATCCTTGCAGTGTGATGTAGCCTGCCTCGTTGCGAACGGTGCACGACGGGAATGCAGAATCGACCCACGATGGCGGCATGCCCGGCGTGGGCGCGAATAGATTGGCTAGCTCTCGGTCGTTCAGGCCGCCGTCATTGTCCATGTCGAACTTGAGAAACAAGTCGACAAAGAATCGGTATCCAGAAGGACTGAGCTCGGCCGAGGAGAACTGGGGCACCTCAAACTTGGGGTGCAGGAATGTGTCTTGCAGACTCAGACTGTCTGTGTAGTGGAACTTTCTCAAGATAATCCAGATGGTTTCGTGCCGCCCCTTTTCTGCAAAAATCTTGTTCAGGAGCAAGAAGCCCTTCTCGTCCATGCCGTACTCGCCAGTCGCCCCAGGGGCAAACCGCTCCATGGACTTTTTGATGTTTGCCAGATCGTCGTCGCCCAGCGGCTTCTCGAAGCACTTGATCTGGAAGTCGTGGATCTCCTGGTCGTTCCAGTAGCCATCCTTGTCGGTGTCGCAGAGGTGGAAGACACGCTGAAGCGCAGATACGGCGGCGGGCTTGAGCATGTTTTCCTTGGAGTCGTACAGCGGGGCGATGGGGTGTGTGACTGCCTTTTGGCAGAGGAAGAAGACCTCGTTGATGTTGTGGTGCTCCTTGGCGCTCACGCGGATGCACGAGTCAATCTCCTTGAACTCGTTCATGATGGGCAGCATCTCCTCGGAAACGACCTGCGACGTGGTGCCGTTGGAGGCCAGGTCCGACTTGTTGGCGCAGAGCACGACGGGCACGTTGACGCCGAGCGAGCGGAAGTAGGGCATCCAGAACAGGGCGACGCGCTCATAGCTGTAGTGGTCCGAGTATACGAGCAGAATGACGTTGGACTTGCGGAGCTCCATGCGGAGGGCATGGCGTTCGTGGGGGAGGGCCGAGGTGTCGACAATGGTGGTGGTGACATTGTCGGGGGTGCCGAGCGTGGGCGGCAGCGTCACCTGGGGCAGGACGGGCTGTATCTTGGCTGTGACAAAGACATCCTTGACCAGCGAGGTGATGATGGAGCTCTTGCCGACGCCATCGTCACCGCAGAGGCATATTCGTACTAGGCGGCCGTGTCAGTTGCCGCCGCTGGCTGGGGCTGGGGCTCGGGACCAGCCACTCCACTTACCGGTCGCCATTCCCCCCCGGCAGCATCCCTATAGCATCTCAGGCGGGGGGAGCAGGTGTTTGTCTGGCGTGTGGGCGGCGGAAAGGGGGGGCTGGAGAGAAGGAGAGTGCCGTCCCGTGTGCTCTGGTGGGCGTGTGCAGAGACTGGGGCGGTTGCACGGCCAGGGCAATTTCGTCGCCAGAGGCAGAGGGGTGGTGGGCAGATGCGTTTGCTGTCACTGGGGCTTGGCACACGTGGGAGACGATCGCACGTCGCCCCCCCCCCGCCCAGCGGCGCCCCGCAACAGCGGCCGCTGGGAGAGGTGCAACATGGCTGACGGGGCGGGCGAGGTCGCTGCCCGCTCAACCGTCGTCGCGCGTACGCTCCCTGCAGAGGGGGCCGAAACCACGCCGCTCCCATCTCCACCAGCACCCCCCCCCCCAGAGCTGGGCCTGCTGGATGTCGCACTCCAACGCCATGATGCATCCAGCACCGCACACACGGCACGGAAGCCGAGAGGCGAGCGTCTCCGCTTTCCACTTCCCCAGATCCCGCCGGTTCTATGGCCCGCGCGCTCACGCTCGCACTCGCACTCGCACTCGTCCTGCCTGCGCTGCGCCCGTTTCCATTCCTACCGCCGCCGCCTCGATACTTACGCCTGCTGCTCTGCCGCTGCCGCTGCGCCCACGACGCCCGCGCCCTCTCCACCACGTACACACCCTCTCTCTCCCCCTCGCCCGCGCCCCTCCAGCCCTACGCGCGCCCGTCTGCTCCCCGGCCGTGGAACCTGGTCTCATGTCGTCGCCGGCCAGCTAGCATACCGTGCCTTGTCAACAGCTAGCCAGGGACTTCTCCACCTCTGCCGACTGCAGCCCAGCAACCCGTGTCAGCTTGCACTGCAGCAGCAATGTTGTAAGTCCCCCCCCCCTCGTTCTGTGCTGACCGCCTGCCATCCGCCAATCGCTTCGCTATCAGCCGCCTCCTGCAACACGCCCTGGACTGATATCAGGACAGTGTGCTACCCCCTCCGCCGCGGTATCCTGTCGGAGGCTACCCAGGCGCGCACCCGGGTCAGCTTATCGAGACAAACAACAGCATCAGCCATCCCTCGGGCCCCGACTACCAGCTGGTTGCGGGCGAAGGTATTTTGGCCATGCCGCCGCCGCCCCCCCATGTTCGACGCATGCCGCTGACACCGATGCCATGATAGGTACCTACGTGCTCCGCGACGACCTCCACCTAGCCACGCCGCCGCCGCACCCGTCGGAAGCCCCCGTCCACAACCCCAATCCCCTCGCGACCACCGTCTCGCCCCCCACGGCCGGCACCAAGCTCTCGCTCGTCGCCCTTGCGCCCCGCCAGCCCTCGCAATCGCAGCTGCACCGGTTCGGCACGCGCGCGAGCACGCGCTCCCAAGTCCCGCCAAGCATCCAGGAATCGCCGCACGAGACCAACAGCCAGGCAAGCGATGTCGGCTCTCACGGCGCCAATGGCTTCGCGGCCTCGCCCTTGGACGGCCTCAGGACACCCGTGTTCGGCGAAGGAAACGCGGCGCTGGCTCCGGTGGCAGGCAAGGACTCCAAGGACCCGTCCAAGCGGCGCAAGCCCAAGAGCAACATTGTCAAGAGCAACTCGTCGTTTGTGTCGCGAGTGATACCGCACGAGGCGCTGACAAAGCGGCTGCAGGAGCACAATGTCAACGGCCTGTATGCCTTTGCCAACATCAACCGCGCATTCCAGTGGCTTGACTTGACGTCGCCCACCAAGGAAGAACACCTGACCAAGATCCTCTTCACCAAGGCGCATGCTCTGTGTCACGACATCAACCAGATCACAAAGGGTCCCAACCACCTTGACATCATCATTGGCTTCTCGACGGGTGACATGATATGGTACGAGCCCATGTCGCAGAAATATGCGCGCATCAACAAAAACGGCGTCATCAATGCCACGGCCGTGTCCGACATTCGGTGGCTGCCGAATAGCGAGAATCTATTTTTGGCCGCGCACATGGACGGCAGTCTGGTCGTGTACGACAAGGAAAAAGAGGACGCAGTGTTTGTGCCCGAGGAAGTCACGTCGCCGTCAGACGACGGCTTGAGCGACGGCGAAAAGAAGCTCAAGGCGCTGCTGACGATCAAAAAGTCTGTCCAGTCAAGGAACCAGAAGACGAACCCCGTGTCGTACTGGCAGGTGTCGAGGTCCAAGGTCAATGCGTTTGAGTTTTCGCCCGACCGCCGCCATCTGGCGGTAGTATCCGAGGACGGGTCTTTTCGCATCATGGACTTTCTGCGGGAGAAGCTGCTGCACCATTACATGAGTTATTATGGGGGCATGATGTGCGTGTGCTGGTCGCCTGACGGGCGATACATTGTCACGGGCGGGCAGGACGATCTTGTGTCGATATGGTCGCTGGAGGACAGCATGCTGGTTGCGCGGTGCCAGGGACACAACTCGTGGGTGACGGCCGTGCAGTTTGACCCGTGGCGTTGTGACGAGCGCAACTACCGCATTGGCAGTGTGGGCGAAGACTGTCGTTTATTGCTATGGGACTTTAGTGTGGGCATGCTGCACAGGCCGCGAGCGGTGAGTCAAAAGAGACGAGTGCATGATTTTGACGAGTGGTTAATTTTTGACGGGGGAGGCTGACGTTAATGTAGGCTTCGGTGCGACACCGCGGAAGCATCGCGTCGTCAAACGTCAAGATGCAACGGTCCCAAACGGGCGGCGGAGGGTCTGTCAACCGGCTGCGCTCAAACTCCAACCTCACGTCGGGGAGTCTGTCGGAGGACGAGGACGTGGTGCATGCCGTGGAGCCGCGGGCACGGACGGCCATGCTGCCTCCGGTTCTGGTGAGTCTGGTGGTGGTGGTGAAACCTCAACAGAGAAATTTTCTAACCGCCATTGGTGGGCAGGCCAAGACGGTACACGAGCATCCACTGTGCTGGCTGGGGTTTGAAGAGGAGTGCATCCTCACATCATGCAAGAATGGTGAGTTGCTATCAGCAAAAGTTTTCCTTTGCGTCGCCTCATGTGCAGTGGAGCGACGCACGTTGCACCCGCGAAACCATGCGATCTGCGATAAGGGCGGTATTAGTGCGTGGCGCGTCGACGTAGTAGTGCGCAGGAACAGGCGGCCAGTGGGAGGCTAGCAGTTGCGAGAGAATGGGCTCATGGATTTGTTGAGTTTGCGATGCGGCCAAAGGTTAGATAAGGGAAGTGGATCGCTGACAGCTCGACGACAGGCCACATTCGGACTTGGGACCGGCCCAAAGAGGGTGCTGCGAACGACGATAGCAGCACGTCTGGGATTGCGAGCGCGAATGGATCCTAGGCGGTTGGCCGCGGTGGTAGTGGCGGTGGATACTTGGCTTGGATCGGAGGCTTGGGCAGGTCGGACGTTTGGGCGCAGTCCGATATGACCCGATGTCTGAGCTTGCACGACACGGGAGAGGCGTCAGAGGATTTGCTTGTTCAGCCTTATGGAAGGGATATTTTGCATGTGTGTCTGCGTGTGTGTGTGTATGTGGGTGGGTGGGTGGAGCGGTGTTCCAGAACGGTTTGTAGCAGGGCTCTGGCCCCACGGAGCCAAAGCATGCAGACGTGTGCATATGGGCCGGGAGCAAAAAAAAAACCAAGTTTTCTTATCTCGACGGTGCGGCTTGGTCACGGAAATCACGACATGTTTTCCGGCCGGTAAGGAGATGTGTCGCGGCGCGTGTTACGAGGGGCGCTTGTTTGTGGGTGGAGCGTCAGGGCGTGGGTTGCGGGAATTACCGTACGTTACAGCATGTGCATGCGCATGTGCATGTATGGACTATAGGTAGGTAGTAGGTAGGCGTACGGAGGTGACTGTCAAAAGTTCTTGCTGACAGGGGTGCATTGATTACCGCCGAAAATAGGGCCGAAGCTATGTAGATCGGTCCCGCCGCCCCTCTTTGTACTCATTGCCACCTTCAAGTTTAATGATTTCTTGAATATGAAACGGAATATGCTCTATCCAAGCTTGAATTTGGTGTTGAGGTAGCTCATCCCAGTACTGTTGCCATACTTTTGTCCCTTCCGCCCGACTTTTTGGTGCGCCTCTTCGTGTTGTTTTTCTTTTGAGCCATGGCCAGGCTGCTTCAATAGCGTTGAGATCAGGTGAATTGCCTGGCCATGGGAGCTGCTCCACCTCAGCGTTTCGGTATATAGTTCTTTGAGCGTGGTGGGTATGCGAAGGTGCCTTATCTTCTTGAACAAAGACACGTGGTCTCTCTTTTTGGCACTCCTTTGCGAAGGGAATTAGCTTTGGGATAAGAACTTGAGTCTGGTAACGCCACCAATCAATGCCACCACGACTGCTCTCACGAGCCAGCTTACCCGTCTCTTTTACCCATCTCCATTGTGGAACTCTGCCAGGCTTGTTACGTAATCCAAGCCTCTTCATGCCTGTTGTAAGCTCCCACGCCTCTCTCATGAGAGGCTCTAGAGCCTTATTCAACTCTTCAATCTGGAGAGCGGCGTCTCTCTTCTCCTGCGCAGTCTCAGGCCTCCAGACATGGCAAGGACCTTTGTAGTCGTACGTGAAGCAGCCCCAGAACATAAATTCAGAGTAGCCCTTCCACCGCTCTCGGATAACACTTTTGGTAAAGACTTCATCCAGGCGTCGCCACACACGATAGCCACCGCGACGGTGGTTGAGAACAACAGAAGTCTCATCTGACCAAATAACGTTCTTCCAATCTTCAAGTGTCCAATCTTTATAGGCAAGACACACT